TCGTCATCATCAACGTTATCATCGTTAACAACAATTTTGTTTGTAACTATAATTCGATCGGGTTTGACGGTTTGAACATTCACGACTACCTTTTTGCCGGGGCTAACTGATACCGGTCTAGTTTGAATGATAGTTTCTAAAAGAGCGCCACCGTCATGATTCAAATTGGTTACAATAATAATTACATTATATTTCAAAAAACTTTACCAAACGATTTAATGTTTGAAAGAATTTTTTTTTTCAAAAAATATTTCATCATATAAAACGTTAAACATTCATTACCCTTTTTGGCGGGCACCTTTGCTACAACTACCTTTTTGGTGGTAGCTTTAACGGTTTTGACTGTTACCTCATCAGCGTCGCCATCTCCATCTTCAGCTTGTCTTTTAGTCTTTACTTCTACTTTAGTCCCCTTTATATCTGCTTTCGAAATCTATTCATTAAAAAGTAAAAAGGATATACCAATATATTTTTTTATAAGTTTAAGGCTTGTCTTTGAGTGAACCTGCCTCTCATCTTTATGGAGTGCAATATTGCTCAAATTTAAATTATTTACTTCACCATACCCCATATAACCCTCTCTACACCCAGTTAACTGTCAGGAATGCACAATATCTGTATCGGCCTCTGCTTTCAATTTAAACCATACCAGTGTCCATTACCCCAAATGATCATTAACGCTAATAAATTCTTTTTTAAAAAAAATTGGCCTAAATGCTATGAATTTATAGGAACAAGAAGTGCAAATTTTTAAACTTGATTATAAAAATATTTTGTGGAAGAGAATAGGGGGGATTATATTTATTTTATTTTTTCCTTCATTAAAAATCGATATCAAATACCGGATACCGGTGGTGTCGCCCGATACAAGAACTAATTCAGATATAGAGTATAGTCCAAGGCTCCAAAAATATATAAAAGATTTTAAAATTTCCACTCTTTACTTTTATCAAACATTATAAAATATATAAATGATGTTTTATTTATTTTTTTTAAATAATATATAAAAAAATTATTAAATGACAAAAAAAATCTTTCGAAACAATGTTTAAATGTTTTTTTTATAACCTCCATTTTTTTTTTTTCGAGAAGCTCTTTGGCTTTGGCTAATTTAACCTTTTGCAATTCATCATCATCGTCATCGTCGCCGTCATCATCTGCATCCATAACTAAAGCATAAAAAACAACATTTAATGGTGTTATTTTAAAAATATATGGACATGTTCCTTCCTTCCTTCTTTCCTTCCTTCCTTTTTCCTTCCTGCCATTCTTTCTTTTTTTTCTTTTCTTTCTTTATTTTTTCCTTTTTATTCTTTTATAAAATTACCTTTTGGCTCGGCCCGTGCCACCCTATAATTTATTTCTTCCGCACCGTCTAAAGCAGTTTCCAAAATCCTGGCATTTGTTACGTCGGCCAACCTGAAAGCTAAAATTACAAACGCGACCTATAAAATGATAAAAATATAAAAATTAAATTATTTTGTTTTATTCTTCCATCAATTTTGTTTGGACAATAATTGACATAAAATGGTAAAAATTGGGAAAATAATTTATCATCATTACCAGGAGTAGATAAGTGGGTACATTTTTCAAGATTTTTGTCATTTTTTTAAAACTAATTTTTACAAAAAGCCAATTAAAAATTAATTTTATCAAAAAAAAAATAATGGAATTATAATTATATATTTATTTTATTTCTTAATTAATTTGATCGCTTTAAAATATCAAGAGTGATAATCAATTTTTTAAATATATTAAAGGTTAATTGATTTTTTTTAAATTGGTAATAATTCAAAATTTATAATTAAGAAAGAAAATTTTTTTTTTAATCTTCAATGCTATCAAGCTATCTTTTTTTTGAAAGTTATAAAGTCATTTTCAAGATCAATTTTATTTTTGAATTAATTTTAATTTTTTTGGGTTTAGAAATCCATTTTTCATAATTTTTGAAATTCAGCGAAAAAATAAAGTAATTATTAATATATTCTTTTTTTAAAAAATCAATTGTCAGTTTAAAATTATAGGTAATTTGAGGTATATTTTACAATTTTTGGCAAAGTTTTATTCCCCCCTCTTTTCATTTTCTTCAATTTATTCATTTATTAGATCTGGATGACAAATTTATTATTTTTTTAAAATGTTTTTTTTATTGGCAATATTTTTAATGAATTATGGTTAAAAAACAAATAAATTTTCGTTTATTTGGATTAAGATAATTTAACATTAGTATAGACATTTTGGAAAAACTGTTTAGAAGCTCAAAAACTAAGTTCAGAAAAAGGCGGGTTGTTTATAAATTTAATTAGGTTCTGTTAATACCCATAATCGATTTGAGTAGATTTTTAAAAAAAAGATAACTCAATATTTTATCCAGGAAAATATTATACAAGCCTGAAGATTTTGCTTAAATGTACTACAAAGATTTTGGATATCTATTAACGAAATATCGAGGCTAAGACCCTCTTTTTCTGGACTAAATACTGAGTTCGCCATTTTTTAAAAATCGGCTCTACGAGCCTATTTAACATCACTCAGTCTCAACATGTTACTTCCGTCAGTCAATGCGTTATATTTTCATCTTTGAATAGTTTTTTGAGCACGATTTATTTTTAAAATTCGATTCTGCAGGAAATGTAATCTGTTTAGAATACTTATCCTATGAATTTTAGGCAACATTGCCATTATCCTTTAATCTTAAGATAATTTGGATTCTTTTTAAGGTTATTTTTTAAATATAAATTATAAATAGCTCAAAAGTTTAATAGCAAAATGGTCTGATAAATTTTGGGTAAGTAATGCTGGAACACATTGCAGATAAGATCGGATTTTTTTTTAATTTTAAAAACGCGCTAAAAAAAATTGATTTAAAGTAGAAAAAATTTATACATTGGTGGAAAAAAAACACATTTTATATATTAAATATACGTAATGATAGTTATAAAGACATCAATATTTAATAATTTTTATATCCTAAACAAAGATATTTTAGAGAATCAAGTTTGTTTACGATGAAAGTTCTAAGTATCTAAATGCCACAGAGATCCAGATACTAGGCCTATTAGAATCTTGTCAACACCAATCAGTGTCGTATAAAATTAATTAGGTTTTACACCAAAAAAAGTTTGTTCCAAGGGCCTGTTTTAGACAGAATAAGCACACTCATTAAACATGGCTTGGGTTTTTATATATATTTGGAAAAAAATGGGCGTATCGTGTGCATATGTTGCCTAGGATAAATATTTAAACTATTTACTGACCTGGTTGCCTGTAAATGAGATGAATGAATCTAAGGACTATCTAAAATTGAAATAAACACAGAAATTTGATTGGGGAAATATGGTAGAGTAAAAAAAAAATGGCAGAATATTGAGGAGAAAAAGGGTTGTAAAAATAAGGATAAAATTTTATTATATAAGCTTAATTTTCTACTTCCAATCGCAACAGAAGACATTTATAGTAAATAAACACAAAAGTATCACTTAAATGTCACTGTTCTAGAGAATGTATGAAAGGGGAGGAGGAGGGGGGGGGGGGGGGGTTGTGGATAGATGGATGTCTAGAACTAACAGTTGTCTTATGGTATATTTTATCAAAATTCACTCGGTATTGCTAATACGGCATTAAAAATTGATGGTGGAAAAAAGGTTTTTGTTGATATTACATGAATGGAAAGCATGTTATAATCTAATTTAATTTATTTTTTAAATTTTAAGATATCGACAGGGTCTATGAGGGGGGGGGGGGGGGGGTATAGTGATCTAAAGAATTTGTAATAAAATATCTATATTAAATTTCATTTAGGATTTCGTATTCAAGCAAGGTCGAAAATGTAAAGTAAGATTAAGTCTCTGTATCTGAGATCCTTTTATTTCTTTTACAAAGAATCAATCTATTTTTTTTTAAAGATAAATAAAATATCTGCATGAAAATAAGTAATTAAAACATAAAAACTGTAGTTATGTGTTTCAGTTGTTAAAACTATTTCTTTAGTCTACCGTCTACCTCAAGTCTAGGTAAAAAATAACCTTTGTGATCACAAATCTCTAAGTCAGGACAAAATGTCTATTCTTGTAAATATTTAATTTAAAAATAGACAGATAATTAGATGGGTCTTTAAATGTAATAGTTATTAACGCCGTTATCCAGTAATTCAGAAAATTTCCGTGATTTATATATTAATAATACGATGTGCAATTCAAACTCGCAGTAATTTTGAATTTTTTTAAAGAAATATATAATTTTATAAATAGTTTAAAATGTAATAAAATGCAAGCGAGAACTTCTATTTCACTAGAACGATCATATGAGATTATTTAAGGTGTTGAAGTCGGAAAAGGCAATAATTTTACATTGCATTTTTTCTAAAAATTTCTATTTTTAAAAAAAATTACATTACTATATTGTCGAATACAAGGAAATCTTTTAGAGTTAGCGAAAAGTAACGATGTACTACTTATTGTTCATAAGGGTCCTAACTTAATCGTTCAAAAAAACTGAAATTCTCTGCAGAAGAATATTCTTAAACGATTGTTCAGATTAATTTCTTATGGCCCAGATAAATTACGCAGTTACCCATAAAAATTCTAATTTCTCAGATGAAAAATAAATTTCTATAAAAAATATAGGAAACGCTCAGAAAATCGTAGATTTTAAATAAATATTGGTGAACTTCAGTAAAAATTCTGCCTTATAAAGTATATTTTTTTATTCTGAGTAATTCTAAGCGTTTGTGTGTTTTTATTCTAAGTAAATAAAATAAGTCGCAATCTAATAATTTATAACCGTTTTATAATCTTTTTGAGGTGATTATCATACTATACATCTTAAAATTTATTATCAGAGTAGAAGTGATAATTTTATTCCTATTTTAAAATTGGTTTTTTAAAAAAAAATATATCATTATAATACTATAGTATTTATAATTATAGATATTTTTATAATAAATAGATAAAATTAAATTAAAAAATTATATATTATAATTTGTATTTGTAATAAAAATATATATATATACCACGGGGAAATTACAAAGGGTAAAATATAATATAATATAATGAAAAAAAAATATATCTGCATAATATATATATTAGAGAGTAATTAAAGAACATATCTAAAAAAAAATAAGGGTATAATTTGTTTCATAAAAAAAATTTGTTTATAGGAATAAATAAAGTTCCTATTTAAAAAGGTGAAGAAAAATAACATATATAAATTTTGTCAGGGGATATTATTTTTAAGGAATTGTTCTAAAATAAGGAATTGTTCTTCGATCTGAGTTTCAAAAGGCTGCTGGATATAATTATCGAACTTGTCCGCACTTTCATCCCGTGAATAAGCTTTAGCCATGAAATGGTCTATAATTTTTATATTACGATTTTTCTTAGCTAAATTGAGTGGATTTTTTAATTTTATAATAAAAAATACACAATTTATATAAATAGGTATATATATATATTAATAAATTCTTAAATACTATCATGTGTTTTATTAATCAGGAAAAAAAAAGAAGTTTATCAGATATTTATTCCTCCAAAAAAAACAAATAAAATTATATTACCCAACAGCTTTTCATTGTTAGGGAAGCCGGCGTATATCATTGATTCGATTCCGCATTCATCTTTCCCTCTTAAAATCTTAAAAAATCCTTTGTCACCCCAATCCGCGTTCCAGCTATTAACGGCCAACCAATAGGGAGTCTCTTTATCCACGCCCCATCCTATAATTTTTATAGCGTGGCCGCCCATAAAACCCCCGGTTTCGTGTTTATAAACTCCTGATAATGGATATACAAATAAAATTATAATGTTTTTAAAGAAAAATGAAATTAGTTTGTTAGAAGCAAAACGTCGCAAAATCACCCAAAATATCTGGAGTTTTTGGAAAATGAAAGTTTCCTCAGCCCTTTAAGTAATTTCTAATTTATTGAGTCAATCACATACAACGTCAAAAGAAGAACTTATAAGAATTAAGATCATAAAATTTTTATTTGAGTTTTTTTAAAAAAATAATACATTATTTATTATACCTGATTTATATTGCAAGAAATCCTCGTAAATAGATAAGGCAGCCTCTACTGGTCCGTATAACATAATTTCTGATTGTATCTGTTTAGGATCGGAATGCACAGAATATACTTTTTTAGCTAGATAAAAAAATTGTATTTATAAAACTTTACATTATCTTAAAAAATTGAATAAATTTATGTCATATTGTTATAATATTAGTGTTACTGCAGTACTACCAGTACCAGGGAATCAATTAATTTTTCTTATTTGTAAAAAAAAAAAGCCATATTATATTAAAATATTTAAATAAGCCGAATTTATCTCTTTGTTTAAAAATGCTCAAGTATTAATTAAACTATAAAAATTTTTGTTAAATTTTATAATTTGTGTCCAATTGAGATCAATGATAAATATCGAGTAAATCGATTATGACAAACCCTGTTTCTAGGGAAAAAAAGTTTTTAATTAAGATGAAAATCCTCATTTTGTACTTTCGGTTACTGAAGCGAAAGTTAAAACAGGATGAGTTTTTGATTATTAATCACTATCGAATATCCCTGGTTCTACAAAGCTAATCCCTACAATTTTATTTAATAATAAGCATTTATTTTTATTAATAAAATATTGCTTCCCTATCTCCGCGATCACAGTAGCGCGAATTCGCGACGAAGTGTGTATATACCTCGCCACGAATTCGCGTTAAACTGTGATGAACGCTAGTTTCGTTTAAAAAGCCCATTTTAAAAAACGGCTCGATTAAGATTTTAGCCAAAAAATTGTATTGTTGTTGTGCTGAATTTTGATTATTTTTTATAAGTAAATAAAGAATTTTTTTTTTTTGGTTAATTTTTTTTTGTAAAAATAATAATACCGAAAATAAATAAAGAATTATATTCTTTTTTGTTGTTATTTTTTTTTGTAGAAATAGTAATACCAAAAATAAATAAAGAAAAGTTTATAAAAACGCGTATTTTTTTTTATTTATTCATTCATTAAGAAATTTTTGTGTGTAAAAAAAAGAATATTTGTAACCCATATGCTAATTTTCAAAAAAAATATTATTTTTATAAATTTATACGGTTCGATAATTTCTATTTTATAAGCATATATTGTTTACTCTTAAAATCTTTCCCTTCTTTTTAAGTATCTTTATTTTCCAATAGCATATGGGTTACAAATATTCTTCTTTTTTTTACACACAAAAATTTCTTAATGAATGAATAAATAAAAAAAATACGCGTTTTTATAAACTTTTCTTTATTTATTTTTGGTATTACTATAATATAATTCTTTATTTATTTTCGGTATTATTATTTTTACAAAAAAAAATTAACCAAAAAAAAATATAATTCTTTATTTAACTTATAAAAAATAATCAAAATTCAGCACATGTTCCCACCGAATGAGATCCAAATCCTATCACTACAACCCCAATAATTCTTCCAATTCCTGTGCTGACAGTTCTATCATAGGCCAGCTATCTCTTCCATCCATCTCAGAATCATTATTTATAGTCTCCCCCAGGTAGGGTTCCACGACAGCCATCGGTACGACTGTATTCGGCCCGCTGGTTTCCCTAACCTCCGGCGTCCGTCTCGTTACCGGTGGTAATATCATACGTACCGGCCGTATTTCCTCCCGACCGTCGTCTCGGCTCCTCTCCCTTGTTCGTTCATTATTTTCCCGATGGCGACCGTTGGTTCTTCCATTACTCGGCCCACGGGGGCACCGGTCCTGCAAATTTTCTGTCTATCTGCATAGGTAGCACACTCGTCTTTGGTGCCGCAACCGCGTCTGTCGGGGTTCCGGCAACTCCGGACTACCATTCATTATCTTTGTCCCCCTGCCCGCCATTCAAGGTCGTACATTTGGCTTAGAAATACGGCTGGTACGTATGGTATTACCACCGGTAACGAGACGGAGACGCCGGAGGTTAGGGGAACCAGCGGGCCGGATACAGTCGTACCGATGGCTGTCGTGGAACCCTACCTGGGGGAGACTATAAATAATGATTCTGAGATGGATGGAAGAGATAGCTGGCCTATGATAGAACTGTCAGCACAGGAATTGGAAGAATTATTGGGATTGTAGTGATAGGATTTGGATCTCATTCGGTGGGAACATGTGCTGAATTTTGATTATTTTTTATAAGTAAATAAAGAATTATATTTTTTTTGGTTAATTTTTTTTTTGTAAAAATAATAGTACCGAAAATAGTTGTAGGCCTCGAGATTCGGGCAAGTAGAAAAACCTTTCTGCCATGTACGAAGCAAAATCACCAGGCTTACACTAAATATCATCTTGGTTAACTCGGGCTCTTTTTAAAAAATCGATCCGAATCCGGCTTTTTAAAAACACTTGTGAAATGAAGGAAGGAAGGGTAGGAATGTAACCGATATGTTATCTCTTTTGAGATACTGATCATCGGCCGATATTATTAAATTAGCCGATTACGATTCGATAAAATGGCGATAATTCAAATTTTTTTTTTAATATTTATTATTATTATTTATATGTATAAGATATAAGATATAACTTATGTTAAAATAAAATAATTGATTATTTTTATAAGGATGTTTACGATTATTAAAGCTAAATAAATTTTAAATTTAAAAATAAAAATTCCAACTGTTTACATTGATCATAAATATACCAGTGTTAGGATTCTTTAACTTTTTTGTAGAGCGAGAAAGAGAATTAAAGATAATTAAATGATAATTTATATAAATAAGATTAAATTAACCTTGTAGTTAATATGACTAGTTTATTATTTATTTGTTTATATTATTATAATTAGTTACTTTGTAAAATTTATATTAAAAATATTAAAAACGAATAGTACTGATTTGTAACGTAGAAAAAATTGTACTTAATTTTGTTTAGGGAGGGGGGGGGGGGTGTTAGTATCAAAAAATAATATTAATTTTTAAACAATAATTGCTTCTATTAAGGCCTTCTTCGTCACTGGTGTACCTACCATACCTATGGGTTGTAAAAAGAACAAACGTTTATTTTGTCCTACTTTTTTTTCAATATATTATGTTTATAAATAAGTTTCTTTCAAATTTGAGATATCTTCTTAAGAAAAACTCCGAGGCCCAAAGTGATAATTTTCGGCTAAAAATTTTTAAACAGCTAAAAATATAAGTAAATATTACCTAAATATACCACTAACAATCAATGCGAAAAATATGATCTTACAAATATTTTATCGCGAAGTAATCGACCAATATTTTGTTGGGAGATTTTTTTATTTTATCATTATTTATAACTTAATTTTAGTAAATTGAGTTCATCATAAAAAATTATGTTTTTTTTATAAGAATCTTATTTTATGTATATTTAATTTTTGAGCGTTTTAAGAATTTCGCCATTAGGCATGTTATTTTTAATATTTTTTTTAATACATTTGTAACACAAAAAAATGTTTTTTATTACATTTCTAGTCCTACCAAACCTCTCTGATATTCGATCACCCTTGATTTTTTTGTAGCTTATATTTAATACTTTCCCCATAATATATATATAAATAAATATATATACCAAAATGCTTGTCATCTTTGTATGTTAAGTTATAGTTGCTTTCGCACATCGTAACGCATTTCGGAGTTTTTACCGTTTTCCCACACGGTTCGTAAATGCCTTCATTTCGTAAATTTGCATATAAGACGAAATAAAAACCAAACAAAATAAAAAATTTAATAACATTTATTTACGTCTCGAACATATTTAAACAATATTGTAAAGCGTCATCCGGCTTTTTTAAAAACTCTTGAGATCCAAATTTAAATCAATCAATCATACATCGGTTATATTTATTGCCCTTTACCCTTGGTGTGGTGATCGCAATGCTGTATTTCGTAAGGTAGGCAACCTTGATCAGATCCAAACTGGCCCCCGGTCACCAAGCCGTGTTTCTGATAATAGTTCCAAGCTATACCCGGATGACCTCCGTTACATCTGCACGTGTTTGATAAATAGTATTTAATTGTATAACTATCATAAAAAATGTTGTTTTATTGACAAATATTTTGAGAATGATTTGGAATGGTAAAATTATTTCGAAATATTACTTAAGTATGAAATATTTTTTTAAAATAGGATTACAGAAATAAGGATGTTGAGTTTTAATGTTTCCCGAGGATGTATTCTTCAAACCTTAAAAACTTAAAACAATTAAGGTACTCTTTTTTTCGCGTTACTTATAATTTTTATATTTCAAGAATATGGGACTAAAAATAAGGAAATGAAAGTGACTGATGGTGGTTATATTAAAATAACATATGATTAAATTAAATTTTAGATATATCTTTATGCTAAAATTCTAATAATTATAAATACATAATATTATAGGTCTTTTTATCAGCATTAGAGTTTTAACTTCATGAATCATCGTTTTAAAATGAATAATAATAATACTAAAAAAACCAAGATATAATGGAATACGAATATGCCAGAACTTTCTAGCGTTTCAGTAAATTAAACATTTAATAAAAAGTTATATTATTCATTTTACATGATTAATTTAATGGAAATTATTCGGAATAATACGACTATTAGAATCAGACGATAAATTTCATAATATGTAAACATTAGAAATTATCTTAATTTTTGGAATCGATTTTTTTGACTTACTACTTTTGAACATTATGCAGTCAAACTCTTGAACGTTCTGGTATGACCTTAGCCTCCTTAATAAGGAAACCAATCATAAAATAATTTAAATCTTATTTTCACTAACCCCATTCCACAATCGTTGCAACAGGTGAGCAAATCTTCGGCGGAAATGTGGGCATTCACGGCTCCGTTACTGTTAATGCAGATCCTATCCGACATAGCCTCCACGGCCCCGAAGGCCTTTAAATAGCAAAAAAAATAGTAATATTTAATGGGGAAAAAAATTAATAAGAATTTTTGAATCCATTTTAGGTCAAACTAGGTCTTGTCGGTGTTAGATTTTCATTTTAACAAAGATGGACATATTATATGCGTTACTCGTAAGCTTTTAAAACTTAAGTAACGAATGGCCTCCCGTTTATTCAAAAGGTAACGACGTTACTTTATATGATGACTCAATAATAATCTGATAGAAATCTTAATTTTGTTTATGTTCCTTACCTTTCAATTTACTAAGCAACGAATAAATTTGAAACCATTTAAATAATATATATTATACCCGCACTCATATCTTTCTAAATTTTTATAACCTTACCCTAACCTTGTCCGAAGAGTTGGAAATTATTGTATATGAGGGCGGGGATGGAACTAGGGTTGAAATAGTTTTCCGCCCTGGTCTTTAGCCCATTGAGCCCCCTAGCTACAATTTTTCAAAAAACGATATTTTTTAATATTACGTCATCAATAAGATATAAAACAAAAAAAAGGGGACATTGTTATTGTTCTTAGAAGGTACACTTGCCAACCTTTATCTGTTATCAAAAGCGTCCAAAAAAATGACTCGGAAACATTTTTACTCCGGGAATGACAAGTGACAACCCACACGTAGAAGAAATCAAATCCCCCCCCCATTTTTCTAAGAGGTATGGTTCTAACAGCTTATTGAAATTGGGTATTTTTTCCCAAAGGAGATGGTGGGGGGAGGGGGAGTTGTTCCATTACCGCTAGATCTAAAAAGAATTTAAAAAATATGAAATACATTGAGCGATATTATATTTTTATAAAAAAAATTAATGCGTCAAATTTTCGAAAAATAGAAATTTTATTAGATTTATTTGAATGAAATCATATGTACTTTTTTTTTAAAAAAAACATTTAAATTAAACCATTTTCTAATTGTGGTGGGAATTTGGATGATATTTCTTCCATTTTAGCGATTTTTTTTAAATTTTCAATTTAAATACAAGTGTTTAGTCCCCTAGTATCTATTAATATTAATATCAAATTTACTTTAAAAATTTTCTAGGAGATATAAGCCATGTTCCCAATTTTTAGCGATTTTTGTTTTCGCGATTTAGAACGGGAACCTTTTTGACTGTCTTATTGTCCGGGACATTTCTGGCAATAAGAATTTAATAAAATTAATGGGGTTTTTTTTTCCTTTACTAAATTATTAAATTAACAATAAATAAAATATGTATAAAAAGTAAAATTAAATTTTAAAAAATTTTTTTTAAGAAATCTTTCTAAACTGATTGGTTGCCTATTAATCACAAATATTTTCCTAAATAAAAAAAAAATTAATGTAATTTTATATTTAAAAAAAGGGGGAGGGAGAGAGGGGGGCTGTTATGAATGATTGATAACTAGGAGCTCAGAAATTATATCGTAAAATCTTTTGATTCAATATTAAATATACTATTACTGTCTCTCTTCATAAGGGTTCAACATATTATGGGAATAAGACTTCATTTATAGTGGGATGTGATCCAACACAATTGATGCCACTATGAATGTGGCTTAATGCTTAATGATATAATGTTTTAGAAAAAATGTCAAATCTACATTTTTTTTTAAAAATAATAATTTTATTTCCAGGATTGTTACTCCAGCAAGTAAACCTACACTATATGAGTTTCAGGCAATTAGTTATAATAATTTTGGATATATAGATTTTTTTTTAAAAAAATGCAAATAATTTATAGCAATGCATTTTTTTCTAAAAAAAAAATCTTAAAATTTGCCACAATCTTACTTTAGATTTTTGCTATGAATAGTAATGTCAATGAACATAGCCATAAAGTTTCTAAACCCCCCACAAAATAGTTACATATCAAATATGTGAAGCTTAGAAAAATGACAATGATAATTATTTTTTTTAAATTTATTAATTAATAAAAGTAATTATATTTAGAGGTATGCAAATATCGTTTTTTGAAGCCAATCCAATATCAAGGTTATGGTCAACATCTATATTAGTAAATCCAATATTGATAAATATATGCTTTATTTCCATTGTATATTAACTATAACACATATTTTTTTAAAAATAATTTTTCATTATATATTTTATGGTTAGTAGTAATATAAACAGACTAATTCAAAAGTATATATTTTTTCTATTATGTTATAAATATTTGATTTAATATTATTTATTATTATATTCTTCAAGGATATCATTATTTTCAAAAATGAATATTGGTCATCAAAACACTTATAAAGATTAATTTTTTAGATCTGAAAAGAATTTATATTGGATAAGTAAAGAATTTATATTGGATAAGTAAAGACTTTTTGAGATATAATGAAATCGATATAAAAATTATATTCAGAATAATTTGTGCATAATCAATTTTACCTAAATATTTCATCAAAATAAATAGAAATTTCTGATTCCCAAATTATGCAAGAACATTTGGATCATCCTCATTAAAAAAATGGAAAATTTCTTATTCATATTTACCCATGGTGGGGGGGGGGGGGAAGGTGGTACCATTATATTATCCATTTAATTGTGAATATCATTTTAAGCTATTAAAAAATTTCCCTCTTTCATAAAATTTTGTAGTTTTTAGTTTAATATTTTATTATTTAATTTTATGAAATTATGACTTTTTTTTCTTCAAAATTAAGTGGATTTGCTTCATATTTATAGTCCTGCCCTATTATCTTATTTAATCATGTGATATTAACCTCCTTTTTTAATATTTTGCTTATTAACTTGCTGATAATAAATATCTCTTTGGAGGCAATTTGCAAAACTCAGCTATACTTATTTTAAAATACAAGAAATACTAAGGCATAAAATGATCATTTTTATATTAATATAATAATACCCAACATGATCCACAAGCACCTTGATCTCTAACCTCCTGAAGTGTTGGACAATTTGGCCATTGTGTTCTACTATCAAATTCCTCTGGCAACTGCATTTTATCTTGATCATGAAATTGAACTTCCATGTTAAATAATTTGGAAGTTGTAGCATTTAATTTGACTCCCATTAATCCCTTAATAAGATCATAGTCCCAACTTTGAAAATTTGGAACATCACTTGCCTATTTATAAAATATATACGCAATTATATAATCTAAAACCTTCCAGGTGGTATTAAGATTATTGATATAATCTACAATTTGAATAGCCCGCGATCCATATTTATTTTCTGATCTTGTAGTATAGAAAAATCCACATATAAATGCAAGGAGTAAAAAAAAATTCATGAAGAAGGATAAATGATGAAATTAATTTGGCTGATTGTATTGGTCTAATATTTGATCAGGTGGTATAATTTATTAACCTTAATCATTATAATAAAGTGTAATATTTGTATGAGGATAAAGTAATTTATTTTAGTAAATATTAGCAATATGTATTGGAAATCAAGGTTTTTTTGTTAATAGTTTAATCTGCCATTTGGATTATTATGGGGGGGGGGGGGGGGGGGGGGGGGCAGATGACATATTATAAATTTTATTATGAGACTTTAATTGCAAACCTTTGAAGGTTATATTTTTAAAAAAAATTGATTCTTCCCTCTTACATATTTTCTTATTAATTGTTTAGTAACATATTAACTTTTCTAACACTACTCCATATTTGGCTACCCTACTAACTTCACCCAATCTTGTATGAAAATTTGGTTTCAAGAAAAAACTGATCTGCCATCGCTGGCCTCGGCAAGTTATTTAATTGGTGACGTCCCCTGTAGAACAACTGATGACCTTAATTCATTTAGGAAGAGTTCGAATAAAGGTTTTGTATATCTTACTTCTGGCAAATTTTATCACAAGTATATTTTTGAGATTGAGTGTTATGGCAGATATGCACCCCCCCCCCCCATCCAGAACTGCCATTTAAGATTTGATAATTTTTCTGTATATAATTTTAATTTACGACGCTACCAAATATTTATTCAAAATATAAAAATTTAAGCCGATTTCAAGCATCAAACTTATAAATACAACTTGTAAATACTAAAATATGAAATAAAAATTAGGTCATTTTTTATATTAAATAACTATAGTTTAATGCAAAAATATATGTGTCTTACAAAAAAGTGGATGAATATAATCATCGGGGGTGGCCCACGAATAAAAAGTTAAGCCACCTTTTATAATACAACAAGAAATTTAAATAAAAGTATGAAAAACATAATTATTATATGCCTTCTAAAAAAATATAAATGCGGAAAAAGTCCAAAGGTAATACTTAGAAAAAAAAAAAATATCTGCATAATATTTATAAAATTAATATGAGATCATATCAATATAATAGTGGAAAATTTGTCATTGATAAAAAAAAAATATATGGTAAAATATATACTTTGTTTAGGCAATATTATTTTGATATTCTTCCAGAGTAAGTAAGTGTTCTTCGATTTGATTTTCAAAAGGCTGCTGAATAAAATTATTGCTCTTGATCTCTTCTTTATGATTCAGAGGATCGTTTGCAGGACCTATAAATTCTTAGTTAATTTTATTAAAGACGTTTTCACGATTTCTGGAAGCTAAATCGAAATATATATTGTTTATAATATTAGAATCGAAATAATATAGGTAAAAGAAAGTTATTTAAATCAGAATTTGGTACGTCAGCCAGAACCCTCGGAATCGGGGAAAATATAGGAACCGAATTTTTTAAATTTTAGCACCAGATTCCATTTTAAAATTCTAGGTAAACGCCCAAAAACGGAATTTAGGTTAGGTTCCGAACTTTTAATTTAAATAGAATATTGAAGAAAAAATTTTTTTTGATAATTTGACCCCCTACCTTCTACCCCCTAAAAAGTATATTTTTTTAAAAAAATGCATTCCTTGTACCCATTTGTTTTTCAGTGTTAGGCAAACCGGCATATATCTCTGCCTCAATTCCGCATTCATTTGTTCTTAGAATCTTGAAAAATCCCTTTTGCTCCCAATCTTTGTTCCAACTATTAACGAACAGCCAATAGGACGTGTTATCTTGCACACCCCATCCTATAATTTTTAAAGCGTAGCCGCCCACTAGATCTCCAGTTACGTGTTTGTAGGCTCCTGTTGCAATATAAAAATAAATTATAATTCTTTTTAAAATAAAAGGGAAATTATAGTTTTAATAAAATGGGCTTGTAACGCCATAAGGATATATGGATATATCTGAAGTCTTAGATGTGTAACGTTCGCTCACCCCTCAAAGTATTTGTTGTTTAGCAAGCTAATTACATACCGTTTTGTAAAAAGTATAAATATACAATTGTCATCTACCAGATTTGTATTGCAAAAAATCTTCGAAAACGATCATGATAGCTTCTACTGGCCCGTATTGCATAATTTCTGATTGTATTTGTTTAGGATCGAAGGGCACAGCATATATTTTTTTAAAATGAATTTTACAAATATTGATGCCTCAGAACTAGTGTTTATTAAACGGCTCGTTTTGAGCCAATTTTTAAAACGACAATCTCAATATTTTATCCAGAAAAATATTGCGCAAACCTTTAGATTTTGCTCATAGATGGCACAAAAAGGTTTGAACATCTATCGACGAAATCTCTAGGTTTAGGCAATATTTTTCTGACTAAAATATTGAGTTGTTTTAAAAAAATAGGCTCAAGTCTAGGCGTTTAACAGCACTACTCAAAACTTTCAAAAATGAACAAGGAAAATCAGAGGGAAAACTGGTTTACCGACCTGGAAATCGCCATTAAACGGAGAAGAAGGAAAAAAAAGAAGATTTAGATACTAATTATAACAAATCATTTTAAAAGAGCATTGCTATTAAATTCTTTGAGATTATACTTTAATTATTTTTCAAAATATAGCAATAGAGGAGACGAGAGTTTATTCATTATCATTCTTACTTTATAAAAAATCAAATATATACACTCTATAAACAAGGATTCACTCCTACCAAACCCGTTCAATAGCTATTAACGATTAATTTACAGAAATTTATAAAATAAATAACACCCGAACCTAAACTTCGTAAAAAAAAGGTTCCTTAAACCAGTTAGAAATTTTTTAATATCTTGAACTGTTTCAAAATAATCATCAATAAATTGTGATTGATAAATTATCAGTGACCATTTTCAGATATTTGTTTTGTATATTGCTATATGACGATGTAAGCTAAAGGTTAGTAGGGTATAGAAGTGTTCTTGGCTATAGAATAAGCTAGATATTCTTTTTCTAGGGATTATTTATAAAAAAAATTTTAAAAAAATGTGCCTTCCTTTACAAAATGTCTAGTAACAAGTTTTTTATGTGTAATAATTAGAATCGGTTTTTAAAGGTTCAAACCAAACCGAATTATTATCTGAACCTAAACCGATATTTTTTAAGGTTCAAATCTCTGTTTTAAACTCATTTCCTCTCTAAAATATAAAATACTTAGAAATCTTTCACAAATAATGTCATGCGTCTAGTCATATTTAGAGGCCTAATGGATTGAACTCGGGGTTGGTTCGGATATTGAATACTTTTTTCTCAGCCCGGGTCAGGCTGTAAGAGGTGTCAAACATGAAGTTCGAGCCGATAAATAAATATTAAAAATATAAATATCTTCAATATTATTAACACATCCTCAATAATCATTTTGTTTCATAAAATTTTAATGGTATAACATGTCATTTTTCTTCTAACACATATCAATTATTTCATATATATTCATTTACCAAATTAAATATTTTCCCTGATTATATTTTAGCGATTAGTTAAAACTCTATTACACACATACTTTACATCATATAATATAGTGTTAATTAAAATTTATTTATCTATCTATTCAATTAAAAAGCCAAAAAAATCAAAACTCATGAATTAGAGAGAAACGAAAATCTGAATGTTTGGAAGAAATTCTTAATATTTAATGACAAGGGTGAACAAAATTAATTATGTGATTTACAAACTTGCACAAATCTCTATATTCTTATCATTCAACATATATAAAATAAATTTAGTCAGGTTCAGGTTGGGTTGGATCTAAATGCGTTCTAGAGCTATTGTCGGGTTGAACCTAAAATTCAGGGTTAGGGTAGGGTTGGACGTAAAAGTGAGTTTTAGGGGTCGATCTTAGACATAAAAAATCTGAAATTCTTCAGGAGGGCCTTGGGCCGTGAAAAAATGATTTAGCAGGGATTTAGTCATATTGTATTTTAGTTAATCCTTGTGATCATCCCTTGAATAAAAAAAATTACGATTAAATTTTCGTAGTGTCAGCAACCTAAATTTTAATCGTAAAAACTTAATGATCATTTATTTGATCGACATGATATTTATAAAATAAAACATTTATCTATTAAAACAAGATAATTATTTTAAAACTTGATTTATTTTAAATAATAATAATTTTTATAAGTTATTATTATATAATTATTCCAAACAAAAAAAAATTCAGCATTAAAATAAATACTATTTATTTTTATAGGTGATGACTGGGAGAAGAAATAGCAGAGACCTGCAAGCCCGGCCTGGGTACACGAGCCGGGCCATATTTTAATTTTTTTAAATAAACCTGGGCCGAGGCTGAAACTTTTTTAATACACCAGGGCTGCGGCTTGAAAATTTTTTATAAAATACCCGGACTGGGGTAGGTCTGAAAATATAAAATCCTTGCCGAGCCAGGTTAAAAAATATTCGAGCTGGGCCATGCAAATGATATTTCTGCAGGTCTCTGAGAAATAGACTGAGATGATTTGGACATGATAAAAGTAAAGCAAAGGACTATTGGTAGAATGGATGCTGCTGTTTTGAAGTGAAGAGAAAAAGCCTCAAATTGGAAAGCTGGATGAAGTGCTAGTAAATAGCAGGAAAACGCTAGGTTTTACTTGGGACGATGTCCAGCACTCCGGAAATGGAGAAAGAGGATTAGAATGGCAAATGGCTCTCATAGAGAAATATGTAAAAGGGCCACTAATCGGCAAAGAAGGAAGAAGACCGAATTAGAGATTTTTTTCCAAATAGTATTCTTTTTCTCTTTTTCAAAAATTAGTATGCAGGCACAAGAAAAAAAATGGAGACAATATGTTTGAAAATAATACTACTTAAAAACTCTAAAGTGATTTTAAAATCCTTGATATTTTCAAAAAGCTCTTATCGAAAGTATAAACTAAATTTTGCATATATGATGTTGTTTTTGTTCCAAAAATTATTAAGCTAACCAAATAATTTCATACCATTGTACTAACAGGATTTTAAGTATCGTTAAAACTCTGGGATGTATGGACGCGAATAACTTTCAAGGGTTATATAAGTATATATGTTAGCGGCAATGTG